CTTTGAGATAATTCTTAGCACTTCTTTATATCAACACCGTTATTACTAATTTATGAATAGCCACAAAGGATAGAAATCCATTTTGTGTGCACCAGATTCTTTTACAAACCAAGACATTTTCACGTAAAAGTAGCAGTGACAACAACACTGTGCTTTAAGACCCCTGATGGAGACATCAGGGGTCTTAGAGACCCCTGATGTCTCCATAAAGAGGACCTGTCACTGAAAATTGGCTATCACAAAAGGGGCTTGTTAGTCCCCTATGTGATAGCAATAAAGTTAAGTGAAAAAAATTTAAAAATGTTTAAAAGAATTAGTTACAAAAAATATATAAAAAGTCCCATATAAAGGTAATAAAAAAAGTAAAAAATTTTTTAAGTCCCCCGCCCCCCACATACACATGCAAACATGCGCCGAGTGCGCCTAAGTGCGTAAACAACGATTGCATCCATTACATTGCACATGTTACGTATCGCCGCAAACGTCACACTGAGAGCAACAATTCTAGGGCTATTAATCACTGATAACACTAACCTGATGAGCGATAAAAGCTTTTAAAGCGTAGCCTATGGGCAATTTTGGGTATGGTAGTTTTTGCGAGTCCGCGGACGCACGCAATTTTAAAGCTTGACATGTTCGGTGTCTATTTACCCGACGTGATCCCATCTTTTATATTTTGCCAAAAATTTGGGTAATAATAACTGTTTTATAACATAACGTAGGGAAAATGGGGGGTGTAAATACCCCGGTCAGCAAGTGGTTAAAAACATTTTTGTGTTTTTTTTAATTCTTTTTCATGTGTGACGTTAATTTTTTTCTTTTTGCAACTTTATTTTTTTTTCCACTTAACTTTACTGTTATCACATAGGGGGGGTAACAAAACCCCCCAATGTGATAGCAAAGATAGGCCCTCTTTATGGAGACATCAGGGGTCTCCCAGATGCCTAATGTCACCTAGGGACCCCAAAAAAAGCGGATGAAGCTTATCCCTTTTATCCCCTGTCGGAGAGCCACCATGATGGTCCCGGGCTCGCACTGGGCACAGCGGAGCCCGGGACCAGTGGTAGGGAGGGGCACGGGGAGGGCGCTCCGATCGGCACCCAATACAAGCGATCCTCGGGCTCTATAGCTAGTGGATTGCTGGTATGTAAACAGGCATCACTGCCTGTGTTTTAATTTTGGTAGTTTCCCGCCCGAGTGAGCGGGGCTAACAGGTCGTCTTTAGACATTGACATTCTTTACAAGTTAGTACCTCGTGCACAAAAAATAATTATGTAACATAATATTCTGCTTGTCAATCGCATTGTGTTTGTTTTTAGTATTTTATTACATGTATTAACAAGTGCACACTTGTTACTTGGATTCCTTCCCACACTATAATTACTTTAATTACTGTTTTGTTGTTTTATTTCTGCTCCCAACTACAAACTGCAAGAGCTAATGCATTTTAATTCTTATACTGCCATTACTAATCAGAGATAAAGCTACACTGGCTTTACAATGGATTACAATGGCTTTATTTTAAGCCCAGTTGAGTTTTTAGTTTAAATCAGTGAAATGCATTCCAGGACGATCAAAACAAAAGGTGTGCAAAGTCTTAGAGTTTTTCTTTCTTAAAAAGCAGCAGCAGGCTGAGTAGAAAAGGCGAAGTACTAATGCTCTCTGTGTAGAAGCAGTGGTCTTTCTGCAGTGGTCTGATACCTTCTTCTGCTTAGTCAAACCTGTAACTCTGAAAACAAAAGGGAACAGAGCGCCACCTCCGTGTGTAAAATCGTTTATTAGGATAAATAAAACAAGGGATAAATGTACTCACATGCAAACGTTTTCATCAGGCTTTAACAACAAACAAGAGGCCACACTGTCTGTTAACCCACATGGTATCACCCCGACTATGTAACACGGTAGCCTCCGGTCCCATCACCACCCACCGGCCACAGTCAGCCAAGATTGACGCGTTTCAGGGGCAAGCCACCTTCATCAGAATCATAGCTTGCTTTGCCTGAGAGTGGGGTATAAGAATGGAAACCCCATTCCATTCCATTCTTATACCCCACTCTCAATTTATGTTGTCCCAAATAGGTTAACCTTTATGTACTTTGTCTGTACTCTATGTACTTTGCTCATAGAAATCAAACCATGCACAATTTGGTCTGAAGAAGTAGAACCTGTCTGTGAAATGTGTCACTGTACAACTCAACTTTATGATCTCCCATTAATCTAGATATGCTTGCAACACTTGTATAACATCCTGGGGTGGTGAGTGATATATTACCTGTTTGGATATAGTATTTTTACCCAAAATATATATACCGCTGATACAAAGAGAGTAGGCGCGGTTGTATTGTGCGACTGATATTGACATACGGTTTATATCCCATTACTATTTTTGAGCAATGTACTACTTGACTATTGTTTTCTAAGATACGTGTATTATAATCTTTTTTTTTAATGCTATCTTTAACAGACTATATGGCTTTTACAATTGGTTTACACTAGTATGCTATACTTACTTTATGGACACCTTTAAAATCCTAAGAAATGATACCTCTAAACTTACCATACAATCTGCTAAAGGATGTGGTGTCCTAGAATCCCATCTATGTTGCACTGATTTACATTCATGCATTTGAATTTAGGAGATTTATTTTCCAATTTAATTGCCATATTGCGGCACACAGAAAAAAAAAGCTTGCACTTTATAACCCTTTATAGTTTACTTTTTTTAATTTGTGGGGATAGGGTGGGGTGGAATTACATCTCCAGCAACAAACCACTTGTAATAATGATCTGTTTCTGGCTGTTATCATTCAAAAACTACTGTTGTAACCTGTTAATCCAGGGGGAGGCAGAGCAGAGCCAGATTAGCTTGGATTAGCCTTCAAATTAAGAGGAAGTGGTGTAAGGTCATGTTCATGTTCTGTTCTGTAATGGAGCCTACATAGGGTTAATGACCTTCTCCTTTACAACAGCACAATTTTCAGTCATGTGGGGAAGTGGAGACAAACATTAACCCTTTGTAGGATCTGACAATGAGCTTGGACTCCCAATATGAAGTATCAGTGGGTCGGGAGTGGATTTTGTTTTACCGAAATGGGAATAGTGACAGAGTCTCTTTAATAACCAACAGTGCAATACTACGTAACATTTTTCTTTTGACGCATATTACGAGGGGAGGGCAATAGGTTCTTACCCTCACCATGATCTAGATGTGCTAGGGATCTGAACTTTTGCAGGTTTATATGTGGATATCTTAGTAATATGCATGCCAATTTTTGTTTTTGTAGGTCATGGTGAATTATAGTTGGAGACAAGAGAAATGGAGTAGGTGTCATGTCGGACAAAGTTGAATACAGAGACGTGTGTTGCTGCTAGCTGGCATCATGGTTTGGGGGTTTAAAGCTGTTTTTTCAGATTTGGAAACAGGAAGAAGTCAGAAGGGGCCAGGTCATGTGAGTAAGGTGGATGCGGCAGGGATTCATAGCCACAATCGCAAACAAAAGTGACAGTTTCTGCAGCTCGATGCAGGTGCAAATATCAGCTGGCAGCAACACACAGCTCGGTATTCAACTTTGTTCAGCATGACACCTACTCCATTTCTCTTGGCTCTAACTATAATTGCCCACAACCTATAAAAACAAAAATTAGCATGCATATTACCAAGATAAAATTGGCTCCTTTATGTCCCCCAGTCTCAGTACCATTATCGGCATTGCCTCTCCCTGGCCGCTTGCCTCCCCGACAGCACCTTTCCATCACCGCTGTCACACGACCTGAATGCTGCTGACTCCAGCTGGATTTACAGGCATGGACACTACCACGCACTGAGTGGTCTCATTGCCATCCATAGCCACTCAGTCCGACCGAGTGCCGTCAGTCCATCTAGTACCACACTGACTCGCCGACTCTCCGCATATACGGCAGGGACACGGACCGAGTCCTTGCTCTCCATCCCCCCTCTGGTTTCCGCCCCGCATCATCCACACTTGGCGGGCACCTTCTGGCTGTACATTATGTACACCAGCATCGTGAAGTTATATATATTGGTCACCTCGATCCTCCTCCGCCCTTCCTTCAGTTCCCGTATCCATATGTTTCTTGACACAGAGACAGGTAGTCTCTATTACATATACCCTCAAGGTTATTGCGCCCTTGTGTGTTTTCATTGTTATATTACTAATATATTCACCTATAAACCTGCACATCCCTAGATCATCTAGATCATGGTGAGGGTAAGAACTTATTGGCCTCCCCTCATATATTAAATGTTTTCTTTACAAACACCTGGTTCACTGTATATCCTTAATTTACTGTTATTGCAGAAATGATTTGTAAAAAAATTAGACAATATACAATTAGTTAATAAATACGTTATGTAATTCAAGTACCGTATTTTTCCGCTCCATAAGACGCACTTTTTTTCAACCAAAAGGAGGGGGGAAATGTGCCTGCATCTTATGGAGCGAATACCTATCGCCCGACACCCGGGGCATGCAGTTTCGGGCGCCGGGCGAGTAGTTTCTTTTTGTACATTCAGCCCTGCTCCTGACAAGCAGAGCTGAATGTACAGTGGGAGCCGCTGTTCGTTTAATACAAGCGATCTAAGTAGATCCCTTGTATTAAATCGAGCGGCGGCAGCATCGGCGATAGTGTCCGCCCCCGCCGAGGTTTTCTGGGTCCCCCGTTCCTCTGCGGGACTGTGACATGTCACGATCTCCTACAGGAGCTCACCACAGAGCCCATTGAGCAGACGAAGAACGACATTCTTCGTCTGCTCTGTGTGATTACTGAGACAGCGCCACCTGTCTCAGCACTCACTAACTGCAGCTTCTGTGACAGAATTTCTGTCATAGAATTTCTGTCACAGAAGCCATGCGTCCTATCGTCCAGAGCGTCTTATAGACCGCAAAATACGGTAATTACTCTGAACCCAAATGCATCCTTTGATAAAGCCTTTCTGTAGAACAAACATTTAGAGTTTTAAGTAAGATCATTGACTGGTAGTTCATGATGAATAGGTACTATTTTTCCAGAAACCATTTCTCTATGCTAGGAATGACCTGGTAACGAGGACCATTTTTCAAAGTCTCACAAACTTGACAGTAATTAATTTGCCATCCACCCCCTGTCTTTGCATAGTATCGGGACCTCCAGTTGAAGTACTTTTTGTATTTCTCATCATCTTTGTCTAACTCAAGAAGGTACATGGCCAGATCCTTTGCGCTTGGAAAATCATTGACATGAATGAAAGCATCACCAGGAATAAAACGTTCATAGTTCTCACGAGATGTTCCTAGCACAACCGGTAAGGTCCATGTGCCAAATGCATTTGACCATAGTTTTTCAGTGATGTAATCTTTGGCGATGGAATTCTCGAAGGCCAAGTAGAATTTGTATTGAGAAATTGTCTTATGGAAGTCATCCCAGGTCAGAGCAATGTGTCCTTTACCATAGACATCAATAGGAATATATTTTTTCAGTTCTTCATAGTATGCTGTTCTCCAGACACCAGGGTAGAACTTGCTTACTACCCAAGCAGCCAGCTTGGATTTAGTGGGGATGGTAAAGTTTCGGGGCTCCTTCAAGGCTATCATCTGACCATAGGGTCTGAAGATATCAGCATCCTTGCGAAATGTCATTGTCATGTTGAAAAGGCCATCCAGCCAATTTAGTTTTCTAATGATCAGTGGTGGCTCCATGTTATACCAAACCCAATGCTGGAAATTAGGTCTTGGCTGCTGGGGCAGTGTTTTTTTATCATACATGATATCAACGTGATGCATGACCACGGCATCACATATATTGTAGAGATCTCGGTTTGCTGTTAGTACACAGCCTGAGATACCAAATTCTGTTTGGCATCTGTCCAATGGAAAGTGATCACCAAAAGGCCAGACCCAAACCAGGACAAGAATCTCGTTTTGTTTTTTCAGAGTGGCAGCATTTATTGGTTGACTTTTCCAAGGCACTATGGAAACATCTGACTTTAACCACAAGTAAGATATGATAATTGACACAAGGAGGATCAGAGGTATGACCAGTCTTGGATTGAGTAAATACTTCATAATCATTATCCTGTGATATAAAAATCAGGCTTGTTAATAATGATAGTAATAATAACAATAATAGAATTTACACAAATTGAGTCTCAATTGTTCATTAAAGCATCTTTATTGCCAAACTAAAAAGCCCTTGAAAATATATACCTGCAAAGAAGAAAGTAAATACTTATTTCTGCTGCCACCCACAGCAGTCCATTGAAAAAGAATTGTGGGGTGGAGTTTCTTTAGGGAGTGTTAATCTCCTGTGTCCCCCACATCACTCAGCTGTTCCTCACACCAACATCAGGGTCACGGCTGTGTTTTGCAGTGATGTAAAAGTTGAGGGAGGAACCAAAAAGAGAGAGGTGAGCAATGCTGCACTCCTGCATGTGTTTCAGAATACACTTTTCTTCTCCCTCTTTAAAGGGAACTCAGACAAAAACAAATTTGCATTTTTAGCAGAGTGAGGAAGGATTAGAACTTCCAACATTTTGTTTTTCACTTTCTGTCCTGGTGACAGCCCTAGTTTTTCGTCCTGGTTTCTCATGGAGAGGAAGTGAGGGGGCAACCTCCAAACTGGTTCGCAGACAGGTTTATTAAATAAATGTTATCTTTTTTCCACCATATAAAAAAAAAGTTTAGGCTTTAGTTAATCTGTTAACAACATTGGTAACATTTAGGCTTTACATTTGTCAAACATACTTAATGAAGAATATTTATAGAAGAAATACACAAATAGTATATGCTTATTACAGTTGAAGGCTACATGTTTGTTGTGGTGGGACAAAACAACCATCAGTTTTTACACATCTCTGTCTCCTACGGGTAGGTCTGTCACCAAGTTCTTCGCTCATAGTCTATCCTGATCACCCTCATGGGGGTTTCTTCCTGTTTATGAAGTGGGAGGATATATCTAATATATTCTAACCAGTTTGTACAGTCTGACAGACATACAGATCCAATTACGCATTCCTTTGGCAGAAAAAACATCTCCCATATGTGTATCTAAACCATATATTTAGCTGTTTGCCTAGAGGCCAGCTTTAAATGGCCATGTTATTCACATGCCGTGATATATTGATGACCACTAAAATAAGCTTTTTGCAAATGTACATATAATACCCAATACTAAAGTATGGAACTGCAAGTAAAATGTGAATGTCAAGCCAAAAAAGATTTTCAGGTAAATATACCTACAATACCTCAACAATTCAATTCACTAAGGGGGATTGGTTAGTTTCACTGTGTTCATGATTTTATCATGTCAGTGTTCTCCAAAAATTGTTCACTTCACCAACATAAATATTAGTTATGTTTTTTTCACTTTTCTTTTTAAGAAAAAACATATTTTTTCTTTCTTTCTCTTTCTTTCTTTCTCTCTCTCTCTCTCTCTCTCTCTCTTTCTTTCTCTCTCTCTTTCTTTCTCTCTTTCTTTCTCAACCTTGATTCGCTCTGAGACAGATGTCCTTATCTAATGCGTCTTTATTACTACCCCATAATATTTTACAGAAGTATTCTCTTAAACGAGCTCTCAATTCTCGTTTGGCCTTTCCACTGAATTGCATATATAACATGTCATGAAGTCTTTAACTTTATATGCCGCGTTTGGGGGAAGTGAACTCCTATATTCTCCTCCTTCTTGCTATATGTCTACATGCTACGCACGTACCACAACCTACATAACCCTTGCAATATAATTATGTATTTGAGACCTTGGTCCTACTGGGATTCATTTTTTCTTGGACCATCAGTGCAATTGTCAGGGATACCGGCACATGTGACCCCACACCTGCGCAGCTACCCACACAGGCAGACCAAACACTTATGACCACACCGGACAGTTTAATAAACAGAAAAACTAAACAACACCCAAAAGCAAACATAAATAAGTAACATCAACCAGACTACAAGCAGGTAATGGCAACAGGAGGACAAGCAGGTAATGGCAACAGGAGGAAAGGCAGGTAATGGCAACAAGAGGACAAGCAGGTAATGGCACCAGGAGGAAAGGCAGGTAATGGCAACAGGAGGAAAGGCAGGTAATGGCAACAAGAGGTATCTAGGACTGCAAATGGGTAACCGGGCTCGGGACACAAACAGGGTACAGGACTGGTAACAGGACTCTGGACGGAAAGCAGGGTTCACCGGAACTGGGGACTCAGGGTTCAAGTCTCAGGAAACGGGAAACGATACTGAGCCATCATCCTGACTGCAGGGAGGGTTTAAATATCCTCCCAGGAAGCACCAGGTGATGGCTAAGTACTGGCAGCTGGGAAACACCCGCAGGTGAGCACTGGAGCTGCAGGTCTCAGCTCCTGCGCCACCTAGAGGCGCTCTGGATCCTAACAGCAATCTCTAAAGCAAGCTTTCTAATCCAAGACTTTTAGTCCAAGGCTTTAATAAAGAAACCCAGGAATGGGAAATAGAACAGGTTGGAAGACAGTCTAGCAAGGATAATATTCAAATAAGGAGAATAATATTCAAAAATTGGGAGGATCCCGAGAGGAGATACAATTTTATACAGGAGATACAGAACCAATGCATTGCAGTAAAAAATGCACAGAGTCACAGGTTAGTATTCAGAAAGGCAGAGTGGCAAGTAGGCAGTAGTAAATAACGCAGAGCTTAGTAGTAAATAACTACATAATCTCCTGTACACTATTCCTAAGGCTCTGTTCCTTATCATTAAGGTATGCTCCCCACAAAATGGCACAATTAGGGACAGGTCACCCATGATCATAGTGCTATAGGGCAGTGCACATATGAGTCTTACAAGAGTGCTGTGTGCTGCCTATGATGACACTGTGCTGGTGACAGTACTGTTTAAGGCTTGTGCGTGAGAAGATACCGATCAATGTATTGCTGTATGTATGGAGGTGATCTGTAAGAGCCCTCTTGCTGCAGGCATGTCTTCCCAGCCCAGACATCACTGCAGCTCAGGTTCAGCTGTGCCTGTGTCTAAAGAGGGCAATTCATACCTGCAGGAAGTCTAAAGGTGCCCATACACTGTACGATTATCGTAAGAGAATCACGGGAAATCCTGCGATCGTACGATAATTGCAAAGTGTATGGAAGGCGTGCAACCGTTTCTACTGTATGGTCGCACGTCTTCCTTCGAACCAGCAGGCTGGAAAACCGGCCGGGAATCGTACGATTCTCGGCGGGTTAGTGGCATGCTTGTTCAACAACTTCCGAACGGGCCGGGGTGCCGACGTGCACACTGCCCGTTTGCAGTCATCGGAAGCCCGCCCCTCATTGCAGTCATCGGAAGCCGCCCCTCAGGGGACCTGATGGCCAGATGGGGCCTGAACAGAAAAGATCAATTAGAAAGTAAATTCAAAGTTAAAGAATGTTTGGATCACAGTTTGGCATGCACACACAGCTGTTCACACGCATAGCAGTCATGATCTCTGAACCTATTTAGCTGAATATACACTGTGAGATCATACACATAAGACTTTGTGGTCTTAGTTTGACATGCATGTTAATTATCTAAATAATGCTGCCTTTGTTCCTCCTGTCCTATAAGGTCCACGCTGGAATATACCTGTCAGCACTCTACTTTAAACTAAACATAGTAAAACCAACATAAGTGGCTCCATAAAAATAAAACACCCATGCACAAAGTCTAATGGTATATTAAAATGCCCTGTATTCTATGTTGTTGGTGGAAAGAAGGCAGGATATGTAGAGTTACATACCATGGGAATCCCTATTCCAAGCATTATGTATAGAATGTACATATAGAATTTAATGTCGGACTGGTTCTTGAACTTCTGTGCATGTGTACACAAACGTGCTGCAAATACCACTTTGTGTAAAGCTCACTAAGGCTTTTTACAAATTAATAATCATGCTCACTGGATGCTGCTTTTATTCCTATGTATGCTAACAGCAGTTAGATACACCCAAAAATAATAAAGGGATTCACCTTTTATTTAAAGCTAAAGTTTAGTGAAAAATGTTTTTGAGCAAACAGCAGCAGCAACACAACTTACCTCTCATGAAATCTATCCTATGTCCTGCTGGCTGCTGCTGTAAAAATCATCCCTTCGCTGCAGTGAACAGTGGTATTCACAAATTACACTGCTCCCCATGCAGACTTAGTTTGTATCACATTAAGAAGAACACAGGAAACATCCGTTCTCAACTTTCGGCACAGAAATGATTACCCTCAGAAGAAGGTCTGCAGCCATTGCTGTCAAACCACAATATGCAGCTGTATTAGAGCAGTGATGGCAGGTTCTGGTGGGCCCGGGGGACATTTGCTGTTGAGCATGTGGGACTGGAAGTGAGTGAAAGGGCAGCGGGGAAGTGGTGGGGAGGTCGGTGATGGGCCCCCTCCTGGCCTTGAGCCCACGGGCAGTGCCACCCCGGTTACATTTATATTTACTACACACAGAGCTATAAGTAGAGTTTTCAAATACCATAAGTACAGGAATCTTATATTACACATTGAAAGTTATTCTAGTTCTTGCTTTCATACTTTCTTATAATTACTTTAACTCTAAAACAGTCAACATTAGACATGTGCATCCGGATTTGCACCTGCAAATCAACGAAAATCAGTTGATTCGGCGGTTCATTCGAATCCGAAATAACAAAATTAATGTGTGCCCAAATATACCAAAACGATATTCGGGTATACATAAATTCATTCTCGGAACACGCCAGCGGCCATCTTGGAGATGGAGCATGTGACGTCACATATCAAAGAGTTCACACGCTGAACAAGTGGTGGCCAGATTGGCCACAATGCTCGAACATGCAGGCGTCACCATTTTGGTGTACAGCAAGATCTACCCCAAAATGGCGGTGCGCATGCGCAGAATGCGCAGAATGCGCCGGCGACCTATATGCGGTTTCAGATTCGGAGGTTTGTTGCCTCCGAATCCGAAAACAACATAAAAATGTGTTTCCTTTGATGAAACAAATGAAAACGTTTTTCTTTTTTATTTGTTTTGTCTGGATAAACATTTTCAGATATTAGAGTTATTGAACACAGGGCATCTGATTGAGGTCAGATTGATATCA